ATCAGTCCAAATGGGGCCCAGAAGTGGGACCCTGGGCCTGTCCCTAGGGGAACTAGGGTCTGCATTTCCCACCCCCACCCACACCTGTTACAGCATTAGATGGTGAATAAACCTTTCTTGTCCCCATGTTACGACAAGGAGGGAGCCCCAACTTGGCCTCCTGTGACCTGGAGGCCAGCTTCATCGCTGCCCTGAGCCTGGGTACTAGCTGCCCAGCCTGCACAGCTGCTCTCTTGCCCCCATGTCTTTGTCCAGGATATATCCTGCACTTGGACCTTCTCCTGGTGAACTGCTTTTCTCAGAAGCTACAGCTCAGGAGTCCCCGCCAACACACACTCCAGGAAGCCCTCCCTGATCCCCTGGCCCACAGCCCCAACCACTCAGCATTATCATCCAGTGCTGTGCTGGACCAATTTGGACGTGCCTGCACGAGCCAATTGTTAAATTTTCAGGAATTTTGCAAAGGTTGATATCACGCCAGTAGTTTGAAATTGGCCATGATAGGAGTATTTGCACCATAACAATTGGTAATGTTACAAATCCCCTCATCCCCCTGGAAATCCAGATATAATGGTTTAACATGTACCAGTGCATGATGGTCATCCACTAAACTGGGGGATCGCAAGGACTGGGACTCCACCTGACTCTTCTCTGCCCAGAACAGAACCAGTCACAGAAGCCAACTGGCTTTAACGTGGGAGATGACCGGGGTGTGGAGAGGGATCCCTGATGTGAGACTACCCCTGAGACAGCTAGTGGGAAGGCAGGTGGCAGAAGAGAACAGGTTGGAAAAAGGACGCTTGTGTGGATGGTGAAAGTTTCCCAGGCCATATCCTCATCCTCTGACCACACAACAGGGCACACTTCAGCACGCAACACAACCTTTAGTTTAAGTTACAGCCTCGAACTGTCTCCCAGCCCAAGGGACCCTCCAGATGGTTTATGACATCAGATGTTTGTTTCTTGGGCTGGGGGTACTCCTCAGAGCTGAGTCCACTGTGGCACTCAGACCCACCCCAGCCCTGACTACTTACCAGGGTCCTCTGGTCAACCCCCACCCAAGGTAGCTTGGGCCCAGTTTCTGCTGTGTGACCTTGGTAAGTCACCTTCCTCTCTGGGCCTGTTTCTCCATTTGACTTGATTAGGCTGGACTCCAACCTCGGTACCTTGGCAGGTATGGCCAGCTATTTGCGTGGGAGTCAGGCCAGGGCCAGCACTGGCCTTGACACTTGCCTTTCTTGAAACCTTATTCCCCAACTCACTCACACAAATGCTGACTGAAGGTTATGGGGACAGGTGACTCTGCACCACAGAGAGAATCCTGAACCCCAGCCAAATGACAGAGTGTGGGGTAATGGCTTCCTTGATTATCCGCATAGTCACTGATTGTCCATATCTGCGGAGACCATCCCATTTGAACAAGTCCTGGTCCCCTACATCTCACCCCCATATAAATTTGCACAAGACCAAGGGGTTCAGGTCTTACAGCTGGATGTCCTTAGTGTTCTCGCTACCTGCCAGTGTAGGCTCTATCCGCCTAGAGTTTTCACTGCTGGCCGACATATCTTCTGTCCTTTTCGCATCAGTTCTGTCAGACCTGCCCATGCCCAGCCTGCGGTGAGCCTGGGTGGCAAGAGTGGGGTCTGTGGGTGGCTTGGCATCTCGGGCAAAGCGGACGAGCCTCTGACCAGCCAGGAAGTAAAGCACAGGGTCAAGACAACTGTTGGCGCTGGCCAGCGGCCGGGTGATCTTGTAAGCCATGTTGATGGCGTTGAGGGTGTGGCAGCTGAGGTCAAGTGAGCGGAAGGAGTAATAGAGGGTGCGGGTGACATGGAAAGGCAGGAAGCAGAGGGCAAAGACAGCCAGCACCACGGCGATGGTGCGCACCGACTTGCGTTTGGCCCGCGGCAGGCCTCCCGAGGTCCCGTAAGCTGGCTGCAGCAGCCGCCGTGCCATGAGCACGTAACACACCAGGATGATGGCAAAGGGCACCGCGAAGAGCAGGCCCAGCATGACGGAGCTGTAGGCCACGAAGTGGCTGAAGAGCTCGGGTGCCGAGGTGTCATGGCAGGTAATGCGAGCCCCGCGTGTGCTGGTGGTGACAAAGTAGAGCACGGGCGCCTGGCAGGCCAGCACCAGCACCCACACGGCCGCTGCCACGCGGCGGGCATAGCGGGCCCGGCCCCAGCGCAGTGAGCGCAGAGGGCGTAAGACGCCCAGACACCGGTGCACACTGATGCAGGTGAGGAAGAGGATGCTGCAGTAGAGGTTGGTGTAGAAGAGGAAGCGCACCAGCTTGCAGAGCACCGTGCTGAAAGGCCAGTGGTCGCCGCGGGCGTAGTAATACACCAGCAGCGGCAGCGAGGCCGCGTACAGTGCGTCCGACACAGCCAGGTGGAACATGTAAGTGGTGGAGGCGTTCCAGGTCTTGAGGCGGCACAAGAAGACATAGAGTGCCACTGTGTTCAGACACAGGCCAAGCACGCACACCACACCATAGGACACAGGCAGCAGCACGTACTTGAAGTCCTCGTTGAAGTGGCACTTGTAGCCCAGTTCATCTCCATCTGAGGTGCCATTGATGGTGCCATTCCAGGAGTCCAGATCTGCCGCCATTGCCCTGCAGGGAAGGGAGGAGTGGGAGAACAGTCATCAGGGCCATGGCAGGGCTCAGTGGGGAGGCCTGGCACACCTGCCTGACCACGGCTGTGAGGGACCCCAAGTGCCCACAGGTCCCCTTGTTAAGATTTGCCTAACCACGTGCAGGGCCTTTGTCACCATCTGACCTGGATTTCTCCCTGGATCCAGCACCTCCAAGCCCTGGAACCTCGAGAATGCATGAAATCCACGAATATCAGGATCATATAATTCTAAAACTAGAATGGAGGTAGGTAACTCCAGCCCACCAGCCTGTTTTTGTAAATAAAGCTTTATTGGAACACAATGATATCCATTTGATTACAAAGAGTTGAGTAGTTGTGACAAAGATGATGTGGCCTTCAAAGTCCAAAATATTTTCTGACTAAAAATGAAAAAGTATGTTGACCCTGCTCTACAATCTCAGGATCACAGAGTTCTAGATCTAGAATTCTGACCTCCAAAATCTGAGACTTTGGGGGTCTCGGAGGGTTATAAATTCAGATTCATGAGAAGGGCCTTTGAGGCTGACTGACCCACTTCTCACCCAGTGTCCACTGCCTGCTAAGGCATTCCTGCCCAGTGGGCAGCCCATATCCTCCTGGAGGCATTACAGATTTCCTTCCTTTAGCTCATCCTTCCACTCTTCGGGGAGGCTCTGGTCCTGTGCCTGGTCTTTTGCTACTTGAGGAAGTATTTCCAAGGGTCTCCCTCTTAAGTCATTTATTCACTTGTTCAGCAATATTTTTTAGGCACTCCTATAACCTGGCACTTTCTACATCTGCAAAGAGCCATTCTTCCTCCCAGCCTGTGAGGCTACCAAATGGGACAGTAACCCTCCTGAAGAGTCCAGAGAAGCCTGGGGTGGATATGGGGATAGGGGGTAGAGGAGGACTTCTTTTGTTGGGCAAATTCAGCTTCTTCTGGGCCTACCCACTTTCTCTTTGCACACCACCGCTATCTTGTCCCTAGTGAGCGTATTACACACCCAGTGTCTGACCCAGCAGATGTAGTGACTGGAGAGCAGGTTGTCCACCTTCCTCCTGTCCCCACCCCTAGCAATGTGAACAGTAAGAACTCTTTCTCAGCTGGGAGGCAAGGGACAGACATTCTGATCTGGAGGGCAAAGATGTACCTAAGGGCCCAAAAGGCAGGCTGGAAATCATAGCAGGAATTCCAGCTGGGCAGTTTTGGGAAAAACACAAAGAATAACTTTAGTAGTGTGAAGGGCAAAGGGAGCTGACATTTTTCAAGCCCTAGTAATATGTGTGCTTTATAAAAGTTACTTCATTTTATCCTTACAACATGCTCTGGGAGCCAGATCATCACCCATCCCGTTTTCCAATCAGGAGGCTAAGACAGAGATCATTTAAGTAATTTGGTCAAGGTCACACAGCTGGGGATGGATTGCAATTCCTGTTCAGCTCTATCCCACAATGGACAGGGCTGTGGAAGGAAGCAGTGAGCTCCCTGCTTATGGGAGTGTGCAAACATCTCTCTAGAAAAGGTTTGTGACCTATGTGAGGTGTGTCTGGGAGGAGGGAGAGGGTGGATGGCATGTGGGTCCTTCTCATCCTGAGAATCTGGGACTATACAATTCTCTTCATATTGGATCCTGGGGTCCTGAGAGGCTGGGACTGTGGGACTCTGCAGGACTGGCAACATCTACTCCCTTAGGCCCCGAGTTTCCCATCCAGCCCTGGCCTCCCAGCAGCAGTTCAAGGCCTTGAGGTTGAGGTAAGGGGGCCTGAGGTCCCTCAGTTTCCCTTCTTTCCCCATGCCCCCCAGATCTTCCCCGTCTCCTGTTATCAGCAAATGTGCACCCAGGAGGAAGGGAGCCTGCATCCTTGACCCCCTGCCACAGGCACAGATTCCTCCCCAAGGAGCCAGGGCAGAAACAGGGTGAGGAGGCAGGGAGAAGCTCATGTGGTGCCAAGTCAAGAATGGACATGTAGAGGTGGGGGCTCTGGCAGGGCTGAGTGGCTGAGACCCCTCTTCCCAGGGTCAGGATGTGGGGCTGGCATTCCAGTATTCCTGTATTCCAGCATGCCCTCTGCCCCTGCTCCATGGCCCAGCCAAGCACAGCCTCTACCTCTTGTTGCTGGAACCATTGCATCAGCCTCCCTCCTCCAGCCTCAGCAACACTTCCACCCAATCCAGAGGAGTTTTTGTAAAGGACAAAGTCATTCTCCTGCTTGAAACCCTCCTGTGGCCCCTGCCTACTCTCAGGAAAAAGCCCCGCCCCTCAGTCTGGTACTGCAGGTTTTCATAATCCAGCCTGTGCCGGCCTCACCAGCCCCTTCCCCTGGGATCTGCAGGCTCCTGAAAGTGCCCAACACTTTCACCTTCCAGCCTCAGTTCATGCCATTCCTTCTACCTGGAATCCATTCATGGCCCTCTTCTTTTTTTTTTTTTTTG